GGCCACAAAAATGATCCGAGGGCTGGAGCACCTCTCCTATGAGGAGAGGCTGAGAGAGTTGGGCTTGTTCAGCCTGGAGAAGGCTGCGGGGAGACCTGACTGCGGCCTTTCAGTACCTAAAGGGGGCCTATAGGAAAGGTGGGGAAAATCTTTTCAGTAGGGCCAGCTGTGACAGGACAAGGGGGAATGGTTTTAAACTAAAACAGGGCAGGTTTAGATATAAGGAAGAAATTCTTTACAATGAGGGTGGTGAAACACTGGAACAGGTTGCCCAGAGAGGTGGTGGAGGCCCCATCCCTGGAAGCATTCAAGGCCAGGTTGGATGGGGCTCTGAGCAACCTGATCTGGTTAGCGGTGTCCCTGCTTACTGCAGGAGGGTTGGACTAGATGACTTCTAGGGGTCCTTTCCAACCCAAAACATTCTATGATTCTATGATCTTCCCTTGCCCTTCCCTTTGTCGCTCCGCAGAGCGGGAACCCCCTTTCACTCTCCTTTGGCACTGATGAGCTCCCCTCACCCTCTTCTTCCGCAGTGCTTGTATCAGTTCCTGGTGTTCATCCCACCAAGCAACGGGAGCCTGAGAGAACCGGGCACGGCGGCAGTGATGGTCGATACCCAGCACCCACTCACCCTGTCGCTCAACAGCTCTGTGGGTGACAGAGAGCTCTGCAAGTACGTGGCCCAGCCCTAGAGAACACTTGGATAGCTCAATCCTATGTTTGGGTTTTGGTTTTTTTTCTTGAAGCCATGCGCCTATTTAGTGCCTGCTCATCACCTCCTTTTTCCTGACTGTTTAGGCCTGGAGTTCAGTCTTCCCCCCGCTGCTGTAACTGTGGTGTATGTTGTAATTGTGCTGAAAGGATCTAGGCACAAGCAGGAGCCAAAAGGGTATGCGCTGAGCCAGCATGTGCAACCGGCCTGGTTTCTCTTGCAGAGAGAAGGCCGTAGTTCAAGAAGATAAGTGATGCAGTAGGCAGTGCATGTGCGGTAAAGCATCTGCGTTGGGCTAGGGGAGGGTAATGCTTGGCAAAGGCAGGGCCAGGCAGCTCCTTGCTAGATCATGCTGTTAGACCGAGTTTACAGCCTGCCTTTCCTACAAGCATGTAGGCTTACAGGCCCCCAAATGCTGCTGTGGTACCTGCATGTAGCAGGGATGGCTCAGCAAGTTTCGTTTCCTTTATCCCTTGCAGGATTCAGTATCATTTTGGAGAGTTTGGCAATTATTCCCTTGTGGTAAAGACCCTAAGTGCAAGCGCCAAAACTGTTTCTTGTGACCTAGTCATCAATGAAGGCCCTATCAACAGCTACCTCCGTATGTAATGCTCTGTTTTCCCCTTTCATTCTACAACTTGCATGTCTCCCAGCAGAACCAACTTCCTAAAAAGCCCGTGCAGCCACTCATACTGTGCTGAAGATGTGTCACGGGCTTGCTCCCCTTCCCCCTCAGCATCTTGCCTCCGTATGCTTTGTACACCCGTCTTGAGGCCCTGACCAGGATCAGGTCTCTTCACATGATATACTATATGGCCACAACCCTTCTGCAGCAGGGATTAGCCCAGAAAAATCAGTGGGTACATGTCCGGAGGGAGATATTTTCAAAGTTAGTTCCCGTTTCTCTGCATGTTTATGTATGTGCACAGAATCGCCCCTTTTCTTCCTTGTCTTGCTTCTCTCACAAAATAGGAAGTAATTAATTTTGTTTGTTTATTGCGCTTTTAATTTTCAACCTCACATCTTACTTTTTTGTTCATCTCTTTTCCAGGGCTGTTTCAAACTTGTCTACGTCTCTTCCATTCTTTTCCTTTACATTATTCTTCAGTCCTTCCAGTTTTCCAGCTGTAAAGAGAAATTCTCCGTGCTTGCAAACTTGGTGTATTACCCTCTCTCCTGTCTTCCTCATGTTGAGGCTGTTTCTAAATCTCTAATTTCTTCTTCGGAATGTATAGCACATCAACTCTTTTCTCACCACTGCCTTGTGATGCAGTCCAGTTTTGTTTTGCCTTTTTTATGTCGAGATGTGCAGTCACTGAGCTGCTCTTTGAAACTAACCTGCTTTTGTTTTGGGTTGTTTTGGGGTTTTGCTGTGGTTTTTTTTTTTTCTTTTCTGGGACTCAGGCTGGGGAGATGTGTTGCACGGAGGAGGTGGTGTGACAACTGTTGGGTTGGGCTTTCTTTCATGTTTGTGTCACACGTGGCCAAGCCCAGGCTGCTGAATGGTTTTGTTAGATCATTTGTAGAGTTGTGTTCTTCTCTCTTTCATGTAGCTATTCTCTTTGCTTTCCTGGTTTACATGGGGATCCTTGCTATCCTGATCGTCGGGCGCCTTTTCATGAAGTAAGTGAACAGTATTGTAATACCTCCTCGCACGTCAAGTGGGGCTGCCAGTTTAAAAACACGTGCCGTAGCGTGGTAGTGCTTCAGAGTCCCACTGTAGCCCTGCTTGCAGCTCAGATCCTGTTATCAGGTTGCTGTGTACAAGTTAAGCTGTGATAGCTGCCCCTATGATAATAAATAGTGATATGATTTCCCTTGTGGGATACCTTGCAGCCTTGTTAGCTTGTGTGTAAAGCGGTTACTGCAGAGCAGCTGATGTCTGCTGTAAGCTTGCACACACCCTGCCTCATCCTCTGGTGACTTGCCCCTGGGCCTAGCCCTGAATCGGCAGTGTAAATCAGTGGGACCTAAGCGTTGTGTAGCACGTGCAGCCTTCCGTCCTGTGCACTGAATAACGTGAGTCATCCCTGCCTGTAAACAACGCGAGAATAAAGCCCCCGAACCTGAGCTTGTGGCAGTGTAGTTACATAGCTGGACTTAACTGAGGTCCCAGGTACTGGCTGAATCTATTACATATGTGAGCTGGGAAAACAGAAATAGGGACTGTCCCAACTTCTGATTTATGCTGCTGACCAGTTGATATTAAGATGAAATTGGCTATAAAGTCGTCTTGTTTTGTTTTGTGTTTTAAACTGTTACTAATTTTCAGGATTGATCCAGTCAGAAACTGGGTTTACAAGAAACTGAACCCCAGAGAAACTGATCGTCTGATTAATTCTGTGAGTGACCACAGTATCTTTAATTTGCATTCCGTAGTGTTTTCATCTCTGAGGAACAGACACTATCCAGACGTCTGGGGACTTGTTTATTACTAATCACCTTCCCCTTGTGCATGTTCCCCTTGGCAAATCTTCTATTGATGTCAGTCAGGCAATTTTATGTCAATGGAGAGTGCTAGACTGGGTTTCCACACAAGTTTAGTGGATTCCCAGGAGAGCTCTTGCAAGTCTTGAACATACAGCTTTGTGCCCCCTTTAGTTCCCTTGAAGCAAACATGTTGGTGAAAATACCTTCCCCTTCTGACACAGACAATGGAAGGGAAGAAATGCCAGATTTCCTGTCTGCTTCCAGCACAGTAGGAGTTTTAGCAGGATCTACACTTAAGTCAAGATTTCTCTGGCAGCCCTAGAGCTCGCATTTCTGTGTGAGCTGTGTTTTCTACTAGAATACAGACAGATCATCGCTGTCTAGGACATCTAGGAGGTCCAAACCTGTCTAGAATCAAAAGACTTGGGAGCAGAGCTCTGTAGCAATTCTTGTTGTTTATCTCCATAGCAGTGTTACAGCGATGTCTGCTTCTTTATGCTGTCACTGGGGCTGATCAGAGTTTAAAAGGATTCATTTTCTGCTGGTTTAGCTCTCTAAACAGTCTGTGGTGTCAGGCAAGTGCTGATGGGATGGGGTGGGATGGAACCTGTTTGAGAGTCAGTAACTGGATCTGCTCAGCTCTGTTGTAAAGCAGCACTCGCAGTGACAGCAAGCCTGTGGCTGATCTGGACTGGACCCAACTCTCATGAGTCTCAGACACGGGCTCTTTTCACTGCATCATTGTTTCCACCCTGGTCAAAGGTGGAGTGTGGAGCATTTGCAAGTATTACTGCATTGCAATATGGTGGAGCCATGGTTAGAAGTCGCAAGTGGGGAAACAAAAGGAAGAGGAAGATGGGGAGGACAAAGACAAACACAGCATGTGAAAGTTTGCAGTTTGCTGACCTCTGTTCCCTAGGCAGCTGGTGCAGCTGCTGACTTGCCCTTCATGTGTCTCGTTTGTTCCCGAAGGAGCTTGGGTCCCCGAACACAACAGACTCCCTCAGCAGTGATCCCACCCCGCATTTGTGGAGCACAGCTTCTCGGCAGCGGCTACGTTCCTTGGACACATTCCGAGGGTGAGTGTAAGACCTTGCTCAAAACCAACTCTTCCAAGGGGAATGGGATTTTTCCAATGGCAGTTTCACAGTGTATGGAAATTTATAGCAGATGGACGGTTCAAGGGGGTCTGTTTTAGTTGGAAGGTAATCAAGGTTTTTTAATTCTTGGATTTTCTGAAACACTTTGCAGTTGATCTAGTTTGAGGAAACATTAAAAGTTGTGGCAGAGGGTGGAAAAGAACAACATATGCTCAGTGTGAAAATGCTATGCGAAGGAGCTTACTTTGGTCCACCGCCACTCGTGATCTTTGAAATGCTGCTTCCTGGTTGGCAAAGCTGGAAACCTTGTAACTAATCTTGCTTTAAAAATACAATAAACCAGATCTAGCAGTTAGAAATGTTTTAATAGGGTAAACATTAACTACGTGTTCATACATATGTATTTCATCGACATGTGATACTTTGTGTGTGATTTTGTTGTTGTCTTTTTAGGCTCTCTCTTGTAATTATGGTGTTTGTTAACTACGGAGGAGGAAAATACTGGTTCTTCAAGCATGAGAGTTGGAATGGTAAAGTACAATTGAGACAGTTAATCTGGGTTTTAACTGCAGCAGTATGTAGATACGGTTAGCGTTGCTGTTGCTCAGCTGACGTCTGGGACGCTGTGCTGGTTTGCCTCCAGCAGGGTATCTGGCCTGTTAGGTTAATGGGCAAAGCAGTGTATAGTTGTGCCCATCACACAGTGACGGGATGGTTTCAGATCACAATTTGTGTGTAACCTCTTCATTTTTGACATAGGTTGATATCTTCTTTTCTGTGTTGTTTAATGACCACAGTCAAGCTGATGGTGCTCGATGCTGTACAAACATAATGCCTTGATGGGCAAGCTGATGGGGAAGGGGTCAGGCATCGTGCTGCCCTAGTGGAGAATAGCAAGGACCTCATCCCTGAAATCTTTCCTGAGACACACCAATCAGTTCTGACTCTATTTTTGAAGAATGGTAAAAGCAGCAAAGCAAGATGATTAGCTCTTTGAAAGTTTTGTTTATAACGTGTTTTAGATTTTGGGGCATCAAATAATTGCAAGCAGCCTGCAATTCCTCTGGAAACTCAACAATAATGTTGAAATGTAGGGAGGCTTCGACGTAAATAATGTGTTCCTTGCTATTTCTCTGTAGGATTAACAGTGGCAGATCTGGTGTTTCCATGGTAAGTCTTCCTGAAGAATAGTTCTTGTGTCAAGTGATTCTTTATGTTAAGGGTTGCAAGGAGAGCATTGTGTGCACCTTGCGTCCATGTGGAAGTGTATTTGGAGGGGTGAATTTGTGTTAAATGGCTGACAGGAATCTGCCCCTCTGGGTAACGGTAGCATCCTTACGAAGCAGCAGAAGAGCTAAGTGCTTTTGGCTGCCCCACATCCTCCTTCCTCCCCCCACATGACGTCAGTGGGAGGTCCAGGGTTACCCTGCCAGTGGAAATGCAGTATCCCTGCGGAGCTCATTGCCACGCTACTGTGTTGAAGGTGGTCAGTCTGGCAAGATTCAAAGGTGGACCAATGTGTACCCAGAGATAAAACAGCCAAGGGAATTTTGGATGAAGCTAATCTCCCTATAACCAGAGAATGGTTTTATGTGGGGGAAGCAATTATCCCACCCGCCCCTAGCATGCTTCTCTAAAATATACACCAGTTGTGGTTACTCTTGGAGTTGGGAACTGGACTTGGACTGTGAACCTAATCTAGAGGGGAGGAGGTCAGTTCTGAATTTGAATCATAGATTTGCAGCTTGTGTTTTGCGGCTCTGAAGACGCTAATTTAATTTTGGGTAATGGAATTTTTTGGTGGCGTATGTATTGCTGCAAAAAGACCAGAACGCAGTTACTTCCCTGAACTTCATTGCTTCAATTTACCACTGAAAGAGGTGGAAAGGTCCCATAGTGCAAGCTCAGTTGTCTGGGAATTCCTAGCAATCAGAAGAAATGAAGTTGTCCAGTTTCAATCAATGCATGCATTTCTGTTGGGCCAGGGCAGGCTACTCTTTTAGCTTTAGTGTTTGCTGTCATGCACATGTGTGATCTGTCAGCTCCATTTCCCATCTGCTCTGTTCTCCAGGTTTGTGTTTATCATGGGGACATCGATATCACTGTCGCTGAGCTCCATGCTGAGGTGGGGAAGTTCCAAGCGGAAGGTGCTCGGGAAAATCCTGTGGAGGAGTTTTCTGCTAATCCTGATGGGAATCATAGTTGTGAATCCCAATTACTGCCTTGGACCATGTGAGTGGAACTTGCTCTCTTCCTTGTGTTTCTGCAACTGTTCCTGCCTCCTTGGCCAGGCTGTTGAGATAACTGTCAGCCTTGCTGTACTGACCAGTTGCACGGGGGGCAGTTTGATGGTATCCTGTAGAGCGCTGTTCAGTTCTGCACTGACACAGTTCTCTCTGTTTGAACCCTGTGCTGACCACTGTTTATCACCTTAGTGGTGACTTTCCCAGGGTTATGATTTACGGAAAGTGAGGTGGCAGAGTGGAGGTGTCCCTTGTACCCACAAGCACAGTGGGTCTCGTCTCTCCCTGGAGAAGGGTAGCTTTCATATTTACAGAAGAGCCCATGTCTGCTCCTCTTCCACATTGCTTGTATGTTTTTCAGTGTCCTGGGATAACCTGCGTATTCCTGGGGTGCTCCAGAGGCTGGGATTCACGTACCTGGTGGTTGCTGCTCTTGAACTCCTGTTTACAAGAGCTGGGGCTGAGAGTGGGACCTTGGTGAGCCATGTGGGGAGATGACAAGTAATGCTGGAGGAGGGTCTGGGAGCTTTTGCTCTTGTTTGGGCACAAAGAACACATGAGAACTAATGAGAAAACATGTAGCATCTTCCCTGAATGTGTAGTGCAGTATGACTTGGCAAAAATTTCAGGGAACGTGCACCCTTCAGTGTCCCAGTCTGCATTTTATCACATCTAGCTTTGCTGTATTTGAGGATTTCACCGATCCGTTCAGATGGTGCTTAGAAACAGGCATTCCCAGGCACTTTTGATGACTTTCCACCGCCAAGGGACCCCAGGGACAGGCATCTCTATGCTGAGTCCTGTGGCCTGTGTTTTGTCCAGTTAATTTTGGCAGTGTTTTTTCACAGCAGGGGAAAGTAATACTGCTTTTTGGCCTTTCTGGAGTCTGTTTTCCCAAAAGGCTTTTGTTCTACTCGTGAATCAAAATTCCTTTTGACATTTTCCAAGCTAAAAAACATTGTGGGCTTTTGGTTTGGTTTGTTTCTCCCCCTCCCCCAAGTAACTAAGTGTCTGGAAGTCGTTTGTGAAGATGAAAAGGTCTATTGGTAGAACCCAGTTTTGGAATGACAACAGCTCCCTCTTGTATCTGGGGGACTGCCTGCCAGGAAGTACAGGATGTCCCCAAGGGCATGGTTTTTACTTGCCAGCTAATACCCCCCTCCCTCCATCTCATGCAGGAGACGACGTGTCCTGCGCTGCAGGATATTCTCCCTTACTGGCCACAGTGGATTTTCATTCTGATGTTAGAAGTGATTTGGCTCTGCCTGACCTTTTTGTTACCAGTGCCAGGTTGTCCCAGGTAAGATTGTGCACTCAGACTACTTTCTACGGGGCATCGGATTGTTTTTCTTCTGCTGAGTAGAAAATACATACTATTAGCCATAGGCAAAGAATGAAGAGGAGAGCTTTTAGGCCAGCAGGGTTAAGGGAAGCATTCACCATATGAAAAAACTTTCTTTACTTTGGTACCAAATCACCAGGTGTTATAAAGGTGACATCATTGTTCCTTTCTGTCTAAAGAAGAGGATTAACATCTCCCTGAGGTCTGTGTACAGCAATATATGATCATTGCAATGTCATCCCTGTCTCTGTCCTTGCCTCTTCAAAGGGTCTGCACCCGCAGGGCAGGCAGAACAGCCAGTTGGGTAGCCAAGGCTGAACTGAAGCATTGCATTGGGCTCCTGATATTGCCTGTCCCCTTGCAACCTGCCTGCTCATGGCACTATGATGGTCGAAACGGGGTGGCCACCAGCCAGCTGTCATGTAGGGACCTGTGTTCCACCTGTGTGCCTCTGGCCACGGAAAACACCAAATATTTATTTAGCATGCCGGGCCAGTGGACCATTCAGGTGGAGTATTCCAACACTGTGTGCCATAGCCTGTTTGCTTTTGTCCTAGGGGCTATCTTGGTCCTGGGGGCATTGGAGACTTTGGAAGCTACCCGAACTGCACTGGAGGAGCAGCTGGTTACATTGATCGTTTGCTTCTTGGAGAAAAGCATATCTACCAGCATCCCTCTTCAAATGTAAGTAGCTTTGGGTTGTGGTATGAAGCCGCAGGTGAGCACTGAATGTAGCTGTCAGGAGGGGCTTGGGAATGATGCATGCAGGGGGATGGAAGAAAAAGGAGGTTGGTAACAACTGTTTTCTCTCTAAGGTGATTTACCAAACAACGATGCCATATGATCCTGAAGGAATCCTGGGGACCATAAATACCATTTTTATGGCATTTCTGGGACTGCAGGTACCTCTTTTTTTTTCTGGCTGTGCGCTATAATGGGAAGATTTGAAGGAATCTTGGAAGTGGGGAGGCAACTTGTTTTCTTTATTTAAGGCTGAGACTGGTTCTAACAAAACCTTTTCCAGAGCAGTGATTCCAGGCTGACTTAGCCTGAGGTGAGTGTCAGAGAAGTGGAATCTAACCTGGCAGCAGCTTGCATTAGATAAACCAAGACTTTTCCTCAGTTTTTGTAAGGGATGGACACAAGAAGTTTGCGACATATCCACCCAGAAACTTCCTTTGCTTGTTTTAAGGTTGGGCTTATGCTAGGAGAAGGCTGGCTCTGCTTGTTGGCAAATAGGGCCAAGAGATGCATAGACTTCACAGCTTCATTTTAAACATACCATTTTAAAGATCACAGCTGTACATGTTTCCCATTGCTCATTTTCCACTTGACATGCAGTGGTCTCACATAGGTGCTGTGGGTGTGCTCACCTTCCCACACACGAGGGAGGCAGGGGTTCACATTCGTGTTACCAACATCACAAGCTCACAGCTCACCACCGTATTTAAAATAGGATATCATGACCCTTTTTGATGCAGTTCTAGTTAGTCATTGCTGGCTTTTCTGTCTGGGCAGCAGCTGTTAACCAAACTGAAACTCTTGTGCTGGGAAAGGAATGTTACTGCACGTAGCACTGGGTGAAAATTGATTGGGAATCTCTGTGGGGCAGAGCTTGGAACAGAAGTGTGACACTGAGGAGTGACAGGTTTCTGAGTGGTGCCTGAAAAGGGGCATGTGCTCTGAGCAGGGCAGGGTGTGACGTGGCGCTGTGGAGAAGCTGTTGGGGCTGGCTGCGGAGTCGACGTGGCCGTTGCTCCTTTGTGCAGTCCTTGCTGAGGGAGATGGAGCTCGAGTCACATCATGTTAACCTGACAAAGTTGCTTGTCCCCTTCCTTAATGTTAGTGTAGTAGGGAAGGGAAAAAAGGTGCACTTCTATTGCTGAGTGGGTTGCATCTACCTGCCTTCCCCATCTGTGCCCATTTGTTGCAAAGAGTTCCCATTCTGAGCCTTTTGGCCACTTAGTTGATACAAGTCCTATTTGTGTTCTCCGTCTTAGCACAGGTAGCCAGGGACAAATATCTCTGGCTCTTGAAATGTAGGTATGTTTATGGGCATTAATTAATTCTTTGCATTCTTTTTATATTAGGCAGGAAAAATTATCTTGTTCTACAAAGACCAGCACAAACAAATTATGAGTCGGTTCTTCATATGGAGCATAGTGATGGTAAGTCAGATAGTTGTGTAGCTCTTTCAATAGACATGTATTTTTATGCAGCGCAAACTTAATATTTGTGAAACATGTTGCAGTGGCTATATAAATTTTATCAACTTTATATTTCAGGGAATTATTTCTGCTATCTTGACAAAATGTTCTAAAGAAGAAGGGGTTATTCCCATAAACAAGAACTTATGGTAAGCAAAGAGATACAACTTTTAGTGTGATTTTGTTAAAAGTACTATTTTATCTTGGAGAATGCTTTACCTTTCTTATATTGGGATCTGTCTGTATCACATAGTTGTCTAAATAAACTTTCTACTGAAACCGTGTGTAGGTCAATATCGTACGTGACAACCACGAGCTGCTTTGCCTTCATCCTCTTATTGCTGATATATTACCTTGTGGATGTCAAGAGACTGTGGTCGGGTGCTCCATTTTTCTACCCAGGTCAGTAAAATCATGGCAGGAAATGTATTCCTTCATATTCTTTCTGCACTGATATTATTCTTTTATATTTTCTGTGCTTCCCTTGTCTTTAAAGGAGTTGGGATTTAGAATGAGGTAACCTGAAGGATGCCAGAATGATTAACTTGAGCTGAATCTTTGTGTAGAACCGGGACACTACACCTGAGACCAGACCTTGAGGAGAGAGGGACTGTCAAGTCTTTACATGAGGGCTGGAAGCTGCTATTGCCAAATGACCGTTCTCAGTTTGGTCTCGAGTTGAGGTCCCAGGGAACAGCTGCTTTGTACCAAGCAAAACACCACAGCTGGTTCCTAGTTGGTTTTGGAAAGGCCTGCTGAGACTTGGGTAACCTAATGGGAAACTCAAAGGCTTGTCAGCAGAGTAATACCACTTCTGAAGATGTGGAAGATGAAATCCTCTGGGCAGCTACGTAGGTTCTGTCTCTGTGTTTTTCGATAAGCCTGTCTCTCAAAGCATCCCGCTGTGGTTTTAACCACACTGGGCTCTTGACAAACATCTGAGTACAGAATGCAAACCCACAGCAGAGGGAACCTTTCAGCAGCTTTGGTGTCTGGTATCCGGACAGGAAGATGGGTAGGGTGACAGCACGGTATGGTATCTCCTACCAGAAATCCCAGAGCTTTGAAGGGCAGTCAGCGTTTGTTTGCAAAGGCAACAGATCTGACCAAATAGATTGGCACTTGGCCACCCTGAAGACAATAACTGTGATTATTCTCCTTGTCAATGAAACTGCAGGATACTGATTTGGCTGTATTTTCAATTTAGCATATAGGTTGTCTATATTTCTTTTAATAAACATTTTGGGGGAGAGAACCCCTCAGACTGCATTTGCAAACACATAGGTGTAGCATCTTTGGGGCAGGTACCATTAGCTGTTGTGGTTAGCTCATGTTGTCTCGGTGCCACTCTGTTTCATAAGCCCGGCATGCCTCTGCCTGCTTACTCTGAAGCAAGCTTGTACCTGCTTTTTCCAACAGCATGACCTGTGCTTACTTTCAGGAATGAACTCAATCCTGGTCTACACTGGACACGAAGTATTTGAAAACTATTTCCCTTTTAAGTGGAAGATGCAAGATGGTCAATCCCATGCAGAGCATCTGACTCAAAACCTCACTGCGACAACTCTCTGGGTCATAATATCGTATTTACTTTACAGGAGAAGGATATTCTGGAAAATCTGATAGAGGGAGTCAAGGCATAGTTGGCCTAGATTCTGATGGGGCAAGTGCATAAGGTGGATTAGCCTGAAATCTTGCCACTCGTGCTAGGCTGTATTACTAAAAAGGGATACTAGTTCAAGTTTACAGTGCCATGGAAGTTGTCAAGACTTTTATGTGACTTAAGGGACAGTATTTTCCTATTTAGCAAGAACTGACTAGTCTTCTGCAGTTTCTCTCTTTCTGTTTTCTGTATTCTGTAAATATTTTACTGATCTCCCTCCTTTATATAGAGAAGTGGAACATACTGCAATATTTGGGCAAAGACAGCCTGATGGTGCTTACGAAAGGAACTGCAAGGGATCTGGGTGGTGACTGCATGGGGTTATCGGAATGGGACTGCGGTAACAACTGTTGCATCTGACAAAGCACCCCCTAACTCATGTGGTCTAGGGTTTGTATACACCCTTGGCACCTGCCACACACCTGCGCCACTCTGGCTACTGGCACACATTTAGCTCGGCCATCCTTTTGAGTGGGGAGCGCTGGCAACATCCTCAGCCCTGCAGTTGGGTCAGCAGTGCAGTGACTGGGAAAGCTTGGGGGCAGCTGTGTGCTACAGTGTGCTGGGCAAAGTGGTGACTCAACTGACCATTCTTCATTGCGTTCTTCCAATTTGGTCTTGCATCAAAACCTTAGGTTTAGGATCCTGCTGATGCCTGCTGCCAAAGATCTCTTCTGTTGGCTTATTAATCAGCATGCTGCTGCTATAGGTTTAGCAGCCTGTCTGCGCATGTTCTGGGCCTTTGTGTCACGTGCTTCCAGCATGGATGAGGTCCGACTTTCACGTGCTACACTCTAGGAGTGCAGAAATGCCAGTTCCTATTGACTTTGCATAATCACTTGGATATTACCAAAGTTTGAGCAAAGCAATCCTCTCTATAAATGGATTTATGTAAGGGCGCCGAATCTGAAAACCAGCAATACAGGTAGAGTTCAGCCAAAAAGGAAGAGATAGCAGACCAGTTCAATTTAAGATAATAGTTTTTGGAAACTCAGGAAATTAACTCATGCTGTGATTTCCAAACTAGTGCTAATAAAAAGCCTGAAATACCCTGCTATGTTCTCTGTGTATGTATAAACACGGAAAGAACTAAGACGTACACTTCCGTACAACGCTATGGAAAAAAAACCCTAAAACAAATAGGACGTTACAGAAGACTTCTTAAACAAGGTTTTATTTATAAAGTTTGATGTACCCACATAAGAAAACTAAGCAGTGAACAAACACTGAGTAGTGTTTGTGTATTGCAGAACCTGTAACTCGTAGGGAACTTCCTTGACTCTCTGGACAAGTGATTTTCCGCTGTCATGCTGCTGTTCATACATTTAAGAGCTTTCCCTGCTCTCCGTAAGAGACACTGCATCATGGTCCAGTCCAATCAAGCAAGAGTCTGAAGCAACAGTATTTTCTCATTAATGCAGAACCTATGCAAGACCACCATGAGATTTTCCCCACAGCGTGAGACCTGGCGCTCCATGGCCAGGCGGAAATCTTCTTTCACTCCTTTAGTTATACCCCGGGTAACTGTGTGATGCCTTAAGCCGTGAAGGAAAGAGAGACAGACAAAATCAAATAGTGGTTATTTGGTGCACTACAGTAATTTAAAAGGTGCTGCATGTCACTTACTAGGTATCTACTGTCCATACCTGAGTATAAGGAGAGACAAATAGCCTGTGCTATTCTATTTTTTAAAAATCATGCATTTAGTAGCTTACAAGTCTTTCAAGAGTAAGAAGTTCCATAAAAGTCGATGCTCTCACTGCTTTGATTATGACTGTTGGGAGGAGAAAAAGTGTTGCTGTTCTGGCTAACAGGAAAATCTATTCTCTTAACCCAGCACATACAGACTTCTTGCTTGGGGAAAGGAATTTTTTATTTTTTTTTCTCTACCCTTGCTGCCCAGGCCACTTCCTCCTTGTAATCACTTCTATAAATGGTTGGGGATGAAAGAAGAGTGAAAAGATGAATCTGCTTTCTCTGGAGGAAGGGGACAGACGGCTACCACCATAAAGAGCAGAGGGCATCTTGTACCAGTAGGAACGTGCAGAAAGGAGCCATATAATCCTGTGGGCACTGATAACTCTTTTACTAATGAAAGGCGCAGTGAACACTTCACAGGCCAACACAAAGCCCAAATCAAGCCAGGCTGTGAGTCTGCATCAGTAGAAGACAGATCTTGTGGAGATGCTAGACAGCAGGCAGGGATTACATTTATTCTGAGCAGAAGTTCAGGACTTGTTTTCCAACAGAACAAAGGTCCAGCTACTGAGCAAGCTAAAGCGATGCTGGCTGGGGAAACTCTTGGGATACGGCCCTGTTTTAAAGGCCATTTTTATGAACAGTTCTTTGTTCTCATGCTGTAGTGCTTGATACCTAAATCTTGTCCTTAAAACAACATTCTGCAGTGCCAAAGCACTACACTTTACTTGCACTGGTCCAGAGCTGGTTAAGTAAGATCAAGACTTTGTAACATCTACCTGCAAACCCTACTTGGCAAGGGAAGCAAAAGATACGCCCTGAAATGACAGCCCTGGCACTACTAAAGGAGCAGCATAAATTACATTAGAGAGAAAAGCATAATGCTAACATTGAGACCAGTCCTGAGTCATGGGTAAGAAGGGAAGAGCTGGACCAAACCCAGCAAGCACACTGAAAGTCAGAAAGGAAATAAAAAGTAAAGGGTGAGAGCATCTATGCCAATCCAGAGATGCTGGAAACGAGAAAGGGAAAAGTCTGGTAATTACCCTCACCAACAATACCACCCCACCTTCACTTAAAACAGCAAGTCCAGCATTCTAGAAGAGACTTCTCTGCTAGAACAGTAGAGACCTCTGTAACACATGGAAAAGGCAAAGAAGAGGTTAGCCTGGAGACTACTGGGCAATTCACTGATGAGCTAGGCTGAGTGAAGCAAAACTGCACTGAAAATACTCCAGCATATTCAGAGGTTATGGGATCATCCCTGCTTTTCCATTTTTACTGTCTTAAACATTCCTGGCAGCTGAGCGCTATGGTCAGTTACAACCTAAAGGAGAATATGCAACCTACTCAGCAAGCCAGCAGTGCTTTTGAAGGTGTGTGTCATGTAACAACTGGAAAACAGAAAACAGAATTCAGAACAACTTAAAGGAAAAAAAGTAGCTACAAACGGATCCAGTAAACAGTATCTTGAAAAGAAAGGGTTATACTTTTGCTAATATGCAATTGAACATTGGTATCATTTTGGAGATTTTCTACATTTTTGTTTAAATTCGACAGTGATTATTAAATTGAAAGGACACAGATACTGGCAACTTATGGGAAAAAGAAAAATAAATGTTATAATAGAACAACATGGGTTGCCAGGCAATGTAGGCACAAATGGAGAAAAAAAAAAAAAGGATAAATACTGAGTAACAAATTGCTGAAAACCATGGGCAGTAAAACATGTTGACAAAACACAGCACACTATGAGCAGGGTTTTTCCACTTGGTACCTGTCAGCAGTCTGTATGCTGGGCTGCA